ATATATATATATATATATATATATATATATATATATATATATATATATATATTGTTCTATTTGTGTTTTAAATTTATTTATAATAAGTGAAGTGAAGTTTACTTTTAAGTGCACTGATGCCAGGCTCATTTTGGAAAATAAGGTTTATTGTTAAATTGTTAAATACCCTGCCTCCATTACATATTTTTGTCATTACAAGTGTTTGATCACCATTTGAGTTATCATAGCTAAAAATGTGTTTAGGTATGTGTATATATTGTAACGGGGTGAAGAATCACACGACAAGTAAACTCAATCAATACCCCGGAGGGTGGATTTATTGGGGTGATGGGTGTTCGTGAGAAAGGTCCAGGTAGGTGCTCCGGTGCCGTGAGTGCTCTCTTCTGTCTTCCCAGTGCAGAGGGTCGGTGCAGTGCTCCTGTGGGGCTGGTCGGTCACACGCATGCTTTCTGTGGGAAAAATGAGAGGGCGAGTTAGTGCTCAGTCTCATGGAGGAATCTCCTAGATGGCAGGGCTTGCGTGGTTTATGTAGCCGCCGCCTGATGAGGTGCAGCTGTGACCGATCAACCTGTGATGATGATGGCCAGGTGCTCCTCGCTTGTTTCCAGGGTGACGCTGATGAAGCTTCGGGACGCTCGTCACAATATATATATGTATATATATAGATATATATATATTCTGTTTATGTACATACTGTATTCTAGCCTATAAGATTCCAGAAAAAAAAAAAGGAACATTCCAGAGATGTAATGGTTTTTATACTGTACAAACTGTATTTTCTATTCCCTTACCGTAACCCTACCCTTAAACCTACCCCCCACACAAAACTTTATGCATTTTTAGATTTTCAAAAACTTAATCAAAAATACAAAATAAACAAAATTTACTGGTATTTCCTTGTGGGGACATTTGGTCCCCATAATATAGGGAATGCCAGGTACACGCACACATGCAGTCCCTGTCAGTCAGGACATTTACATGCATGTTTGTGGGAAATTAAGGTGTACTCATTACTGCAGGTACTAAAGATATAAGGGTGATGTTGCATCTTTTTTTCTTTTTTTCAGTTTTTGAATCAATTAAGCTGTTTGAAATCCCAATTAACATTGTTCATAATTTTCACTTTTATTAAAGGACTTTCAGAGAACGATCCCCCAGTCCTGGCCAGAATCCCTCTACCCCCCAGTCCACAGACAGCCAACCAGCTCTGAGTGAATCCTCCAGTGTCCCCGTCATCATGGCAACCCCACCTAAGCGCAGACGCTGTGCCTACCTGGATTCCGATTCCACCCAATCTTTGCGTCGCTCAACACGCAATACATCTGGAGGGGATCGAGCGGCAGAGCCTGGGGGTGGAGGCAGCAGCAATGCCTCTCCTCAACCAAAGCGAAGGCCTGCTGAGGTGCAGGCACCACTACCCAAGTTCTTCCTCAACCTAGAGAAGAGTGAGTCACACTTTCTGTGTCCTGTTTTATTTATTAAAAAGAGCCGGAGACTCACAGCGCCTTTAAAACAATCCAACCGAGGTGCGTAGACCAAAAAAGTTTCCCAAAGAGTTAAATACTTGAAAAAAGCCCGCACACTCTCAAAAATCAAAAGTCACAAGCAAAATGAAAGCAGTGTAAGCAATTTAATGAAAAAAACATGGCAAACGTTTCGGTCACATGTTGACCATTTTCAATGCCAAGCTTAACAGTGTTGGAACTGGGAACAGTTGATTTGAGAAATCACATGATGATTTAGGAGATCACATGATCAAACCAGAACAAGCACTAATCCAAAAAAGAAAGAAAAAAAAAACATGGTTAAATATGCTAGATGAAAAAATAAATAAATAAAACAACATATTAAATTCCACAATATCAAGAAATAAAGAAAAGAAAAAAAAACGAAGAAAGAAAAATAATAAAGAAAAGAAAAAATGAAATAAAGAAAAAAGAAATGACCACAAGATGGGTATATTTAAAGCAATAGATAATATATATCAAATTGTGGAACAATGGTTGTCTGTTGGAGTTGACAAGAAAGTACAATTCATAAAAAACATGACAATTGAAGTTCTTCATTTAATCCCTTCGGATATACACAGTCCATATAATAGATCCACTTAGCTTCACATTGTAACAGTCTTTTGTTAGAATCACCACCTCTTCTTGAACTGGCTCTTAATACCAGAAAATTTCATATCACTAAGCTTATTATGAAAGTAAATTGCTTACACTGCTTTAATTTCGTTTGTGACTTTAGATTTTTGAGAGTGTGTGGGCTTTTACTCTTTGGGAAACTCTTTTATTTCTGAAAACTGTAACTGTATGCATAATTTTAAGTAGTTTTCATTTAAATCTGATTTGAATATACATTATGTACATAATTATTATGTATATTATGTATGTCTATATTCTAATCATATTTTTTTCCTAGCACATTTTACCTATTCCAAACCACATCAATAATAACTACAAATAACTACTATTAATTTGGCATATAATGATTTATAAGTTGTATATGATTAACCCTCAGGGGTCGACAAATGCACCGATGTGTTTTGTGTAATTTTTTCCTGATAACGCCGAAAAGAACTTGCATTACTCTGTAATTTTTGAGCATTTTGAGCATTACCGCCTAGTTTGGCGGTAGTGACAGCAGTGGCAATCCACCTGTCACTCAAGTGGCCATGCCCTTAATTATGCAGAACTTTAAGACTTAATATAATTTAAATGGATGAGTTATAAAAAAAAATCACTCCCCTCACAATTATCATGAAGAGCTAAATTAGCTATATAGACCAAACCACTTTTTGTACCAGGCTGTAAAAAAAAAATTCTGCTGTAAAGTTGGGCATTTTAACATGGGGGGTCTATGGGACTGACTCTCTTTTGGAGACAGTCTCTAGGACCAGTCGATGAATTGCAGTTTAAGTTACTTCCATGTTAGTTTCAAGAGAGAGACCAGATGGTTGCCGCTTGTAATTTGTCTTATCGTGCTTGATAGTGTGTTCATATAGTCTACTGTAATGCTATCCAAAGGATGCCAAGAAAAAAAGGGCACAATTATTTATTTATTTATTTAGTCATTTATTAGACGCTTTTATCCAAAGCGACTTACAAATGAGGACAACAGAAGCAATCAATTGTAGTATTAAAACAACTAAAAACAGATCCAAAACTAAAAGCTAAAACTTATAAATACTACCTATACACATTTTAAAAATAAATAGATTAAATAAAAATGACAAATGCATACTACAAAATTTCAAAACTTAACATTTAAATGAAAACAAAAAATAAAGCTAAAAACAATTCAAAATATAAAAAAACAAAAGGTATAGGAGTATAATAATGATTCCAACATAACACTAAGCCAAACACCAAAAAAACAACTACATGTGTATATACAACCACACACACATACATATATATATATATTGTGTATGTACATACACATTTATAAATTCAATATATATATTATTTCATTTCCATTTAGTTGGTTGAAGTATTAAAATATCTAAAACTTAATAAAAGACCTATACAGACATAATAAATTCAAACATAATGTAACTAAAATTTAAATAAATAACAAATACAAATAATACAAATCAAATGACAGTAGTTTATCAGTAATCCTAAAAAATAACACTGCCAAACACACGTTAAAAAACAACAACTTACTTACACATAGTAAGAAATGGTTATAAAAACTGAAACAGAGGCGAAAACAAGTCATAGGAAAGAGGAGAAATAAAAAGCGATACTTATCCTTTGCCGGTGTCCTGCCCGGTGGAGTCGCACGGTAGAGTCCATGGTCTTTACACTCTTCGGTCTACACACAAGGAGGCCTTCACGCGACGGCTGCTGCGGTAAACTAAGCTTTTTTATACCCGTCTAACAAAATACTAAATTAATTCAGCTGGACACACTTTCCTTATTTTCTCCGCAACAAATGGCCAAGCAAGCGCAGACACTGACAAGATACGCGATACAGAACGAGACCAAACGCGATATCAGCACGTCTCCACACAGTAAACAAAACAAGCGTTTCCTAGCAATGACAACTGCACTAAACACTAATGAGACAAGTAAATACACTTACAAGCTGCTTTTAACTTCTGCTGATAAAGACTGCTTCTCTCAAAGACTATTTCTTTACACTGTTTTCTGCTGGCGCTTGATCACACTTTCCTTATTTTCTCCACAACAAATGGCCAAGCAAGCACAGACATTGACAAGATACGCGATACAAACCGAAACCAAATGCGTTTAGACCAATTAACGTGTTAATTTTGACTACTAATATATACAAAGTTCTGGCATGAAACTCTAGATGGCGCAGTCTGATGGATCTAACTCAGTATGACATAATGACATCATTATCACATGGCACAGCTGATTGGTTCTCTACTGTATCGGTAGCCAATGAGCTCGCTACTCAACATTTAAATACTTGGCAGTGTTTGCTGTAGCAGTGCACTTCAGAAACGTCTGAAATCAACATCTAAGATAAATTAATGCTCTTTTAATCCATATCGCTGTGTGTACTGCGTGGTCTGCCTAATAGAATTGAAAAATGAACAACCATAAACAAGGTTAAAATAAATGTCATGTTAGCAGTTTGCATCGTATGCAAGAGTGAAATATTAAGCATATTAGCAGCAGCATTTACTAGGGCTGTGTATCACCAGTAAAGTCACGATACGATATGTATCACGATACAGAGGCCACGATACGTATCACGATACAGGACTGCACTGAATTTCACCTTAAAAAACAGCTGTTTATTAAACACTGCATACACTGAATAATGTACTCGTTCTAATAAATTTATATTGTAATGTACTCATTCTAATATTTAAAAAAAAATCACTTACATTGCTGGTAGGTTATCATTGCACAAATTAACACACTCTCTACGATTAAAAAAAATTATTTGAAGAGTTTTAAACTAACGCGCGGTCTTCACTTTATCTAACGCACACAAGGCTGATTTACTCGATGCGTCCGCAAGTTCGCTTAGGTGTGCGCGGCAGGACTTTCTGCGCAGCTCCGCTTCCGAAGATGCACAAGTTCAAAGCGACTCTAGCCGAACATGCACGTCTGTGCCAGCATTTGTGTGAAACAGAAGCAGTTTGATGTTAAGTTCAGTCACACACACAGATCACGTTGTGGCCGCACTCAGACATTCAGGAACAAACTTTTTAGCGCTGCCCCGCAGTTTTATAAACTAAATAGCTTAATCGCTCAAGAGCTGCATTATCTTTTTCAACAAGGAGCTGGTGACATCATTGTTTCTAAAGGAATTAAAGCCACTTTACTGTTAATAGAGAAACGCGGCTCTCTCATAAATGAACACTCAATGAATTACAATTTTCTAAGAATAGAATATTGAAGTGGAGATCGCTAAACTGCAAGCTAAGCGGTGTTTTCAGAAAGCGAGCGCGTTTATCCACAGTGGAGAGAGCGCATGTGCACATGGTTGCCAGGTTGACAAAGATAAGTAGCACACTTAGCAGATATTTCCGTATTGCGCAAGTGTGAAGCTCTGTTTCGGGGATTACATCTCTTTATATCAGGCAACCCAGTTGTGTTCCTCTGCAGCCAGATTAAACCTTGTTGTAGCCTATATATGCTCTATTCATTCTTTTTTAGAAACCTCGCGCTTTTCTACTAAATTTTAACGTTGTAAAATTTTAAACAAATTAAGCGCGGCCCACTGCTGCACACGTGCCACAATATCGATACAGGTCCAGCTGTATGCTCATAACGTCAAATCTCTGTGATACATCGTCGTATCGATATTTTGAACACAGCACTAGCATTTACACATCTGTAAAGCTGGAGCAAACCGAGTTTAGAGCATGTAATCGCTCTAAGCACACGCCGATAGACATGAAAACAGGTTAAATAAAATAAGCATGTTTGTGAATGCATGTAGTGCAGTAAAAAGCTGGTTCTGTGATTAGTAGTAAATCTCCATCGTGTGCTTTCAGATGGAGCGTAATTTAATACACAGCCGTAAATCACTGACAAGCTACGCAATAATGCGTTCATAATCGCAGATGAATCGCATTTGATTATAAACGCGATATTGCGTAGCTTGTCAGCGAACTACGGCTCTATGTGTATCAAATGCGTTAGCAGATCTATTCCGCCAAGACCAAATACATTAACATTGTCATGAATATTACCATGAAAATCACTCCCAAGAGTTGTCATGACAGAAATACAATGCTCTGGCATGAAACTCTAGATGGCCAATAGATCTAACTCAATATGACATAATGACATCATCACATGGCACAGCTGATTGGTTCTCTCCTGTATCGGTAGCCAATGAGCTGGAGAGAGAGAGAGTTTCATTGGCCGTATGCGCCTGGCCATTTTCCATTTCAATGAAGGTATGAGACAAAAGTCTTTTGAAGATTGCAAGAAGAAGGTCTAGTCACAACAGT